AATTAACTTTTTTGAATGTATACAGGGATTTTGTAATTGCAAAGACATGAGATAAAGTAGAAAAAAGAATGGAAGAAATTTGTTCCTTGGAGCTTGGAAAACCAGGACAGCTGCCCCTGAAGGACAGGAGATTTTCTACCTCAGGGGCAAGTCTTCTGGGAAAAAGATCAAGGCAAGGTGTGGATCCCCATCTGAGCTACTCTTTTCCTTGGCTCTGAGTGTACATTTAATACATGGTAACTGAAATCCCTTTTTCTGTACAAACAAGATAACTGGTTCTCAGTGTTAATTACTTGCTCATGACAATAGAATGATCTTGACATATCATACCTTTGAATCAAATGGGGGGTAATTTCTCATTTTTCCAAGTGTACACGTTGCAGAATCACATTGGTTATACAGCCACGTATATACATACAGCAATACTAGTGTCTATTTTATTCTGCTGCCCTTCCTGTCCCGCCTTCCCCACCCCTCCCCTCTCATCACCTGTCTCTACCCAATCTAATGTGACAAATTTCTTTTTGTTTCTCACATAATCATACATGTATTTTGTATAATGATGAGGGTCTCCTTCCATCTTCCATGCAATTCCCCTTCTCTCTCCCACTCCCTCCCACCTCTTTTCTGTATTTAGTAGTAATCTTCTTCTCATGCTCTTCCTCCCTACCCCATTTTGAGTCACCCCCCCCCTTTTATATCAGAGAAGACATTTGACATTTGTTTGTTAGGGATTGGCTAACTTCACTTAGCATAATCTGCTCTAATGCCATCCATTTCCCTGCAAATGCCATGGTCTTGTTATTTTTCGTGCTGCGTAATATTCCATTTTGTATAAATGCCACATTTTTTAAATCTGTTCATCTATTGAAGGGCACCTAGGTTGGTTCCACAGTCTAGCTATTGTGAACTGTGCTGCTATAAACAGTGATGTGGCTGTGTCCCTGTACTATGCTCTCTTTAGGTCTTTTCGGTATAGTCCGAGAAGGGGAATAGCTGGGTCAAATGGTGGTTCCATTCCCACCTTTCCAAGGAATATCCATACTGCTTTCCAAATTGGCTGCACCAATTTTCAGTCCCATCAACAATGTACAAGTGTACCTTTTTCCCCCGCATCCTCACCAGCATTTGTTGTTGCTTGACTTCATAATGGCTGTCATTCTTACTGGAGTGAGATAGTATCTTAGAGTAGTTTTAATTTGCATTTCTCTGATTTCTCAAGAAGGTGTGCATTTTTTTGTGTATTTGTTGATTGATTGTATATTCTCCTCTGAAAAGTCTCTATATACGTCCTTGGCCCATTTGTAGCAGAAAATATTACACTTTCTCTTTTCCCAAAGCAGCAGGTTTCTGGGCTCACTAATCAACTCACAATGTGAGTTTGGGGAGAGGCAGCTGCATTCATCACTGGGATCAGTTCCTTCACTCCAAGGGCAGGTGGCTACAGACTCCCCAGGCCCCACCCTGTAGCAACTGAAGCTGCAGGCAGCCTTCCTGCCAAGAGCACTTTCACAGTGACTGATCTGGTGACACAGGGGACTCGAAGACTTTCCTGGGGTCTAGACTGCAGGGACCCTGGACCAGGTCAATGCTTCCTGTGCCTGCATTACCTGCTGGGCCATGGCCAGGCACCCT